CCAGTTTCTTCCTATCTCCCTCCTAAACCTAAACTTATCCAACTTGAATCCGTTGCTCGAGTCCTATCCTGCTCGTATATTATAAGAACTTTATCTATCCCTTTATTGATTCCTTTCACCCACTTAAATACTTTATCATATCTCCGCACTAAGTCTCGGAATCATTTTGTCATTCTTCGCTGCACCGACTCTAGTGAATTTATATCCATTCTATATAGGGCACCAGAACTGAACCATAATCGAGGTGCGGCCTGACTAGCGCAAGATATAGTTACAATAAACCTCTGCACTCTCGTTACTTACACTTCTAGATATAAACAATACTCTGTTTGCCTTATTTCGAACATTAACAGCACTGTTTTCTAGGCCGTATGTCCGGGCTTACAAGTACTATGTGTCTCTTTCAGTCGACTTCTCTAGGTTGCTGTTGTTAAGGCTGTATATATTATAAGTATTTGTTCTTCCAATATTAAGTACCTGCACTTGCTGGTGTTGAATTTCATTTGCCATTTCAGACCACTGCAGTTTATTTAGATCCTCCTGTAATGCATTTGCATCCTGCCCTGAATTAATTTGCCGCCCTATTTTGGTGTCATCACAGCATGTCACTGCTGATCCCAGTATCTAGATCGCTTATGTAGATTATGAACAAGAGTGGGCCTAGTACTGACTGGGAACCCCGATTTTTACGGCCCCTCAGATTTAACACCATCTACGCTGACTGTGCGTTCTATCGGTGAGCCATGATTTTATCCAATTTAAAACTTCCCTCGATACCATGAGCCTTAATTTTCTCAGAAGCCTCTGATGCGGTACTCTGTCAAAATGCTGCTTCTAAAGTCTAAGTAAATAACATCGTAATTTCCGTCATTATCTACGACCTCGAAGACTTTCCTAAAAAACGTTAGCAGATTTGTTAGACAAGATTTTCCCTTGTTAAACCCAGGTTGAGAGTCGTAGATTAATTTGCTTTTCTCTAGATGCGATCGGATGCTATCTGCTATAATTGATTCAAGAAATTTCCCCACTACTGACGTCAAACTGATCGGCCGGAAGGGATCCATTTATTTCTCTTTCAATTTTGAATGTGATACTAGGGACAATATCATTAAGCTTGTCTAAAAATTCCAAAGGGTCACTGGTTTTAGGCCAAAGACAAAGAACATCATCTACATATCTATACCATGGAGGAATAAAGTCCACTATATTGGGTAGTAATCTAGACTCAAAAAACTCCATATAAATACAGGCTAGAGGAGCAGAAAGACAATTACCCATGCTCATGCCAAATATTTGCTTGTAGGACTTCCCATTTGCTCTTAACACATTGTCAGTTACGCATAACTCTATCAATTTGAGGAAAGTATCATGTTCAATAGTTAAATCTAGCAGTTGTAATTTATCTTTAAGAAATGAAAGTAGATCTTTCACAGTTACTCTAGTGAAAAGTGAATTTACATCAAAACTTATTAATTCGCAAGGTTCATTGTGTTTTTGAGTTTATCAATTAAATCACTGCTATTGTGTATATGTGAATTAGATATTTGGCCTGTAAGAGGGGATAGCATCTTTACCAGCCACTTGGATAATTTGTAAGTAACAGAACCCACAGAACTCACGATAGGACGTAATGGATTGTTAAGCTTGTGTGTTTTGATCAATCCATACATATAAGGTAAAGTGGGATTGATTTGAGAGAGCTGTTTAGTGAGATCGGGGTTCTTTTTCAATAACATTTTCATTTTGGAATTAGATAACTTATTAATATTTTCCAGGGGATCTTTCGTAAGCTCACAATACGTGCTTTCATCACTTAGTAATGAATTCATCTTATCATTGTAGTCATTTTTATCCAAAATAACAGTAGCATTAGACTTATCAGCCTTGGTAATATGGATATTCTTATTTCTTTTCAAGTTTATCAAGGCTGTTTCAAATCTTTTTGGAATGTTTGAAACAAATTTCCCATGTAAAACATTATGTATACAACCTTTAGCTATGGAAATATCTTCATTTGTAACATCTGACGACTTATTCTTTTCCAGGTTGATTATACCTTTAGCAACAGTAAGCGGATTAACGCACCGTTGAGTGATAGAAAACTTCCTACCAAAAACAAGAACAAGTTTCTCATTTGTCTGTAGATCATAAGATGATAAGTTTATGAACAAATTTGGATCACTCAATATAATCAACACCTCAACCCGCCAGGATTCGAACCCTCGACCTACATATACATATACACATACTGTACACACATATACTGTATATATAAATTGCAGTGGAATTGAAAATGGGGGAGCAGTACAACAGGGGTTTTGATGATACAATAAAAGCAGGTACTGTAAATCTAGTAAGTGTTACAAGAAATGTTAATACTTAGACAATAGATATTTTTTAAGAGATGATTTAAAGGAAGGGAGCGTAGTCTTTGCTCAGATGGGTGGGGGTAAGTTGTTCTACACCTTCACACCGTGATATTTTCTGGAAGTCTGGGACTGAGAGGAGCTCATGGGGGGTGGTCTTAGTAGCTCTGGGTGCCTTAAGTTGTATCTCTGATTATTCCGGAACTGGAAATAATTATTGTCAAGCAAGTGATTGATAGATTTGTAAACAAAGAGGGCACAACAGTAGGTGTTAATATCTTAGAATTTTAAAAATTTCAATATAACAAATTTTTCGTTTATGGGATCTGTTTTTTTTCAACTAGGTCATTGTCCGTACAACTCTCTTTTGTGCAGTAACCAGAGATTGTGTTTTTGAAGAGCCAGAGGCCCCCCATAGTGTGTGACAGTGTATCAAGTGTTGGTAAACAAGATCATGATAAATTTCTTTCATTGCTATGAGAGTGAGTAACTGTCAAGTGTGATACATGGTACCGCACTGTTTATTGACTTTATTGTGGATGGCTTGTATGTGGTTTCTCCAGTTAAGTTTCTCATCAACAATAACTCCGAGGAACTTAGTATTTTGTTCTCATTTGAGGACTGTATTACCAAGGTACAGGGGGTCCAGATCTAGGGGTTAGTTTTTCCTTCTGTGAAAGATCTTGTAGTGAGGGGTGGGTGGGGTGGTGAGGGAGGGGCACAGTGGAGGGAGGGTGGGTGTGAGGGGAGAGTGGGTGGTGTGGGGAGGGTTGTGGGAGAGAGAGTGGTGGAGGGAGGGTGAATGGTGAGGGGAGGGAGGAGGGAGGGAGGGAGGGAGGGAGGTGGTGGGAGGGGAGAGGGTAGGTGGGGAGGGGTTGGGGAGAGAGAGTGGTGAGGGAGGGAGGGTGGGTGGTGGAGGGAGGGTGGGCGGGGAGGGAGGGTGGTGGGAGGGAGAGGGTGAGGAGGGCTGGGGAGGGAGAGGGGTGGGTGGGGAGGGGAGAGGGGTGAGGGGAGAGGGGTGGTGGGGTGGGGAGGGGTGGGAGAGAGAGTGGTGAGGGAAGGAGGGTGGGTGGTGAGGGAGAGTGGGGTGGGTGAGGAGGGTGGGTGGTGGGGGAGGGGTGGTGGGTGGGGTGGTGAGGAGGGTGAGGGAGAGTGGTGGTGGGGAGGGTTGGGTGAGAGATTGGTGAGGAGGGGGGTGGGTGGTGGAGGGAGAGTGGGTGGTGAGGGAGGGTGGGTGGTGAGGGAGGGTGGTGCGGGAGACGCCCGGGTCGTGACATATTAGCAGACTGTGTGAGATGGTTCCTGAGAGAGAATCGGTAGGCATCGTTATCAGTAATGAGCTCTCTCTCTCTCTCTCTCTCTCTCTCTCTCTCTCTCTCTCGGATGAGTGTTGGTCGTAGCTGCGTTAGTGTGGGGAAGGTTTGAGAACATCTGCGTCATGGAGGTAAAGTGTGGTGAGTGGTGGCCCGGGAACGGTCAACATAGTCAGCAGTTGTGGTGTAGCTCGGTTGTCAATATTAATAAATCAACAATTTTTAGTCAAATATGTCAGAGAATTTTAACAGATCTAAAGGACTATGACTTTTTTGTATAAACTTGTTATTGATTTGTAATAAATTAATTATTTCAGTTAATGATGTGACCTTCCTCACTCCTATGTTTATATAGTGCGCAGCTTTATTTAATCTTGATTTAATTCGCACCATTAACATGAATTATTTATCCATGATGTACTGTATTAAATTAATTTTAATTATAGAAGAAATCGTCGAGTTTACATTGATGAAAAAAACCCAAATATGAACATAGTGTGGAGACCGTGTACACTGTGCGGACCTTCGATGGGTGAGAGCGGTTCCTCTTCACTGGACATCTCCGTCACACACACTGTTGGTGACCGTTAAGTTATAAAGTGTTCTTGTTCTTCTGTTCTGTCTTCTCCTACAGTGTTATGATTTATGTGGTATATTATAATTTCTTCATCTAAAGTATATCGATATAGTATACGATTGTGTGCTGTTAACTAACGATATATGAAAAGTGAAACGTATTTTGTTTACTTATTTTATTACCAAATACAAAGTTAACTTGAGCGTAGGCTCCAGCATTGTCCACACACCCTACCGGTACATCACCAACAACAGCACGAATTTCGTGTTAAGTTGGTGACTGTACAGGAACAGTTAACACATGTGGCAGTGTTTGGTGGTTGTTGGGTTCAGGACTGTGTGTCTGCCATGGCAGACTCTCTACCGTCTTTGACGTGGACGGCTGGCTCCCATACTTCATACTCTGTTGTAGTTTTTGGCCATTCGTCATTGTTTAATTTTCCAGCCGTTGCTTACCTGTAACATAAATGGTGAGGATCAGGGTTATAAAGAGTTAAATTAATATTTTCATTTCTGTTATCGTTTACGAACAATAAGAATTAAAAACTACAGATGCAACAGCCAGCCGACTGAATATAGCACTCGCCTTCTGTCATCAGGAGCACTGGTTCAAACCTAACCATGCTTGATACACGTGAGGAACTGAAGGTGGTCCGAGTATAATGTGAGCCACACTATGTAACGAAGGCTGCATGCACACTGCCCCAAGAGCAGGAAGAACTCAATAGTGTACGTTCTATTCCAGGAGAGACGGAGCACCTGGGTCGTGTCTGGCAAGGTCAACACAGTGTAGGCGGGGTGGCTCTCGCTCTGTATTCTGGCCTGTTCGCTTATGGTGGCTGGAACTACCTCAACTTCGTCACTGAAGAACTGAAGGACCCGTACAGGTACAGTGAAGAGGAGACCAACTTTTCTTACCATGATTTTAAGGGAATTCTGTTGGGATTCTCTTTATATCTACCCACAGGTTTTCTTCTCATTATGTTTATAAATTCACCGGTTTTTACTTATTTTAATTTTGTTTGTCATTGTATTAACTCACACGCTTAGTGACTCACGCAGGCACTACTACATATACTGTGTTAGTGGCACTACTACATATACTGTGTTAGTGGTACTACTACATATACTGTGTTAGTGGTACTACTACATATACTGTGTTAGTGGTACTACTACATATACTGTGTTAGTGGTACTACTACATATACTGTGTTAGAGCACTACTACATATACTGTGTTAGTGGCACTACTACATATACTGTGTTAGTGGCACTACTACATATACTGTGTTAGTGGTACTACTACATATACTGTGTTAGAGCACTACTACATATACTGTGTTAGTGGTACTACTACATATACTGTGTTAGTGGCACTACTACATATACTGTGTTAGTGGCACTACTACATATACTGTGTTAGTGGTACTACTACATATACTGTGTTAGTGGTACTACTACATATACTGTGTTAGTGGTACTACTACATATACTGTGTTAGTGGCACTACTACATATACTGTGTTAGTGGCACTACTACATATACTGTGTTAGTGGCACTACTACATATACTGTGTTAGTGGCACTACTACATATACTGTGTTAGTGGTACTACTACATATACTGTGTTAGTGGTACTACTACATATACTGTGTTAGTGGCACTACTACATATACTGTGTTAGTGGCACTACTACATATACTGTGTTAGTGGTACTACTACAAATACTGTGTTAGTGGTACTACTACATATACTGTATTAGTGGCACTACTACATATACTGTGTTAGTGGCACTACTACATATACTGTGTTAGTGGCACTACTACATATACTGTGTTAGTGGCACTACTACATATGCTGTGTTAGAGCACTACTACATATACTGTGTTAGTGGTACTACTACATATACTGTGTTAGTGGCACTAATACATATACTGTGTTATGTGTAGTGGTACTACTACATATACTGTGTTAGTGGCACTACATATACTGTGTTAGTGGCACTACTACATATACTGTGTTAGTGGCACTACTACATATACTGTGTTAGTGGTACTACTACATACACTGTTTTAGTGGTACTACTACATACACTGTATTAGTGGTACTACTACATATACTGTGTTAGTGGCACTACTACATATACTGTGTTAGTGGCACTACTACATATACTGTGTTAGTGGCACTACTACATATACTGTGTTAGTGGCACTACTACATATACTGTGTTAGAGCACTACTACATATACTGTGTTCGTGGTACTACTACATATACTGTGTTAGTGGCACTACTACATATACTGTGTTAGTGGCACTACTACATATACTGTGTTAGTGGTACTACTACATATACTGTGTTAGTGGTACTACTACATATACTGTGTTAGTGGTACTACTACATATACTGTGTTAGTGGTACTACTACATATACTGTGTTAGTGGCACTACTACATATACTGTATTAGTGGCACTACTACATATACTGTGTTAGTGGTACTACTACATATACTGTGTTAGTGGTACTACTACATATACTGTGTTATGGCACTACTACATATACTGTGTTACTGGCACTACTACATATACTGTGTTAGTGGTACTACTACATATACTGTGTTAGTGGCACTACTACATATACTGTGTTAGTAGAATATCACATTATATTCAAAGTTAGTGGCACCTACTACACATGCCTGTGTTTAGTGGCACTACCACATACCGCGTGTTAGTGTGGCACTACCACACATACTGTTAGTGGCACTACTACATAAAAGTAGTGGCATCACTACATACAGCAAGTTGCACTACTATTATTACACTGTGTTAGTGGTACTACTACATATACTGTGTTAGGGGTGGTACTACTACATATACTAAAGTTAGTGGCACTACTACATATACTGTAGTTAGTGGGTACTACTACATACACTGTAAGCAGTGGCACTACATACACACACTGTGTTAGGGTGGTATCACATATGGCTCTGTATTAGTGCACCACACACATATACTGTGTTAAAGTACCACATATACTGTGTTAGTGCTACTACTCACATAATGTGTTATATACACATGTTAGTGGCACTACATATACTGTAAGCAACCACATATACTTGTAGTTAGCACTACTACACATAATTGCAAGTTAGTGGCACTACCACATATACCTCATGTAAGCAGGATAACTACCACATATACTGTGTCTTGGTACTACTACATACTGTGTTATACCACAAGACATATCAGTTAGTGGCACTACTACACATACTGTGTTAGTGGTACTAATACATACTGTGTTAGTGGCATTACTGTGATACATCGTGTTATGTATCATATACTGTGTTAGTGGCACTACTACATATACTGTGTTAGTGGCACTACTAAAGGCATTAGTGGCACTAATACTACATATACTGTGTTAGTGGTACTACTACATATACTGTGTTAGGTGGTACTATCATATACTGTGTTAGTGGTACTACTACATATACTGTAAGCATTAGGTGGTACTACTTTCACACACATACTGTGTTAGTGGTACTACTACATACTGTAGTTAGTGGCACATATACTGTGTTAGTGGCATCTGATTGGTATATATTGTGTTGAGGGAAATAATTACTACACATACTGTAGTTAGTGGCAATTACCACATACGTTAGTGGTACTACCACATATACTGTATTAGTACACTACTACATATACTCTGTATTATGGCACTACTACACATACTGAGTAAAGTAAACACATACTGTGTTAGTGGTACTACCACATATACTGTGTTAGTGGTACTACTACATACTAAAGTAGTGGTAATTAATAAAGTGAGTACTGTGTTAGTGGCACTACTATACTGTATTAGTGGCACTACTACACATACTGTGCTAGTGGTACTACTACATACATCAGTAGTGGTACTTACTACATACTGTGTTAGTGGCATTGAAGACATGTACTGCGTGTTAGTGGTACTTACCACATACACTGTGTTAGTAAGTAATTCACTACATACTGTGCAAGTTAGGTGGTACTACACACATACTGTGTTAGGTGGTACTACTACATATACTGTGTTAGTGGTACTACTCATATACTGTGTCTGTACACCACTACATATACTGTAAGTAGTAAATTACCATATATCGTGTTAGTGGTACTACTACATACTGTGTTAGTGGCACCACTACATATAATTGTGTTAGTGGCACAACACATACTGTATTAGTGGTAATTACTCACATACACTGTGTTAGTGGTACTACTACACATACTGTGTTAGGTGGTACTACTACATACCTCGTGTTAGTGGTACTACTTCACATATATTTTGTGTGTTAGCAGCACTACTACATATACTGGTATTAGTGCACACATACTGTAAGAAGTGTACTACTTACATATACTGTGTTAGTGTGGTACTACTACACATACTGTGTTAAAGTGGTACTAAATATATACTGTGTTATAGTATGTTCACACACATACTGTGTTAGTGGTACTACTACATACTGTGTTAGTGGCACTACTACATATAATGTATAGTGGCATTCACACACATACTGTGTTAGTGAATTACTACATACACTGTGTTAAAGTGGCAATTACCATACATACTGTGTTAGTGGTAATTACTACATACACTGTGTTAGGTGAAGCACTACTACATATACTGTGTTAGTGGCACTACCACATATAATTTGTGTTTATATACTACCACATATACTGTGTTAGTGGTACTACTACACATACTGTGTTAGTGGCACCACTGCAGTTACAGAAGTTAGTGGCACTACTACATATGTGTTAGTGGTACTACTACATGCATTGTGCTGGCGGCACTACTACATATACTGTGTTAGGTGGTACTACATACTGTGTTAGTGGTGTACTACTACATACTGTGTTAGTGGCACTACTACATATACTGTGTTAAAGGGCACACTACATATACTGTGTTAGTGGTACTACTACATATACTGTGTTAGTGGTACTACTACATATACTGTGTTAGTGGTACTACTACATATACTGTGTTAGTGGTAATTACTACATATACTGTGTTAGTGGCACTAATATACTGTATGAAAGTGGCACTACTACATATACTGTGTTATGGTAACAATACATATATACTGTGTTAGTGCACCACTACATATAATTGTGTTAGTGGTAATTACCACATATACTGTGTTATTGGTACTACTATATACTGTGTTAGTGGTACTACTACATACTGTGTTAGTGGTAATTAATTACATACTGTGTGTTAGAGCACTACTACATATACTGTGTTAGTGGTACTTACTACACATACTGTGTTAGTGGCACTACTACATATGTGTTAGTGGCACTACTATATATAATTGCGTTAGTGCACTACTACACATACTGTGTTAGTGGTACCACTACACATACTGTGTTAGTGGGTACTACTACATATACTGTACAGTGGCACTACTACACATACTGTGTTATGGTACTACCACATACTGTGTTAGTGGCACTAACACATAATGTGTTAGTGGCACTACTACATACTGTGCTTAGTGGCACTACTACATACACTGTGTTAGTGTGTTCACTACATATACTGTGTTAGTGTGGCATCACTACATATACTGTGTTAGTAACACATACATCAAAATAGTGGCACTCACATACACTGTGTTAGTGGTACTACTACATATACTGTGTTAGTGGTACTACCACATATACTGTGTGTTAGTGGTACCACTACATATAGTACCACACATACTGTGTTAGGATAACTATATACTGTGTTAGGAGCACTACTAAGGTATACTGTGTTAATGGTACTACTACATATACTGTGTTAGTGGCACTACTACATATAAATGTTAGTGCACTACTACATACTGTGTTATGGCA